TGTTGGATGACACACCGTCGGTGCTTTCCATAGGCAAGAGATGTATGAACTTCAACTACGGGTTTGTGTGGCCACCCGGAAGGGAACCATTCATGATCAACCCGCAGGGCAAGAGAATATCTCTGTTCGTGAACGGTGACATCCCGTACGTTCGTGCCGGGAGTTCTAAGTCATTGGTTCATGATGATCCGGAGGCCAAAGCGATCACCGAAATCTTCAAGGGTGCGCTAACAGCGGGCAATGTTGACGTCAGCGTCGCAGCTGCCGCTGAAGCTGCACCGAGCGAGATTGAAGCAGAAGAAGAAGGTGACGATCATGAACGACCTCCTGATCCTGAACCCCAAGAACCTCCTATAGAAGAAGTACCAGAGTCCGAGGCCGGACGACCTCCGGAAGACGACGAAGGAAAAGGAGGGGTGAAATTCCATTGGACGGTGACGATGAGGTGATCATTGATGTGGAAGGCGACGGTGCGCCGAGCCGCAAGGCCAGAGTCGGAACACTGAAAGCCGAAGCTAAGACGTTGGCACATCTGTGTACTCATCGCTACCGCAACCCATATTGCGAATCGTGCATACGCGCGAAGATGAAGCACTTGCGAACACAACGAGGTGCGTTTCAACGTGTGATCAAACACTGGGGAGATCTTGTGACGTTCGACTTCCTTGACATGCGCAAGGCCGCCGAAGCAGGCATCGGACTCGATGACGGAGCACGGGAAGTTCTAGTTATCAGAGACATCGCAACCAAAATGATCGCAGCGATTCCCACGGCTTCAAGGAGCACTGATGAAGTCGTCATGGCCATCAGACGCCTTATGGGAAGACGCAAGATTCATATGGCGTATAGTGATGAAGCACCAGAGTTCGATTCAGCTATGGCGCAGTTGAAGATCGTGATAGATCATTCCCTTCCAGGGAAACCCAGTAACAATTCACTCGCTAAACGATCAAATCAAGAAGTGATCAACACAGTCGCAGCATCCATGCTACACGCCGGATTGCCCGCTCAATACTGGTCCTTTGCGCTTAATTGCGTGATGCAGAACCTCAACGTTGAAGACGTGGAGGGCGATGGTGATTCAGCATGGAAGCGAATGACGGGAAAGGACTCAAGCCGACGGACACAAGGCCGAAGACATATGGCAACAAATTCGACCCAAAGGGGATCCCAGGCATTTTTGCCGGATACATCATCACTGCTGGCCAAGGATGGTCCAAGAAGTATCGCGTTTGGGATATGAAGGAATTTGCCAATGCGAACTTGTCGATGGACGCATCTGTTCCCAGGAAGTTGATGAGACCGTACGAGACAGAAGTTATCTACTTCCCGGAGGAGATAACGTTTCCCCTGAAAGCCGAGTACGAAAGGATGAATTCAACCATTGAGGGACTCAGGGACAACGTTGACCTCGCTGGCAAGGAGATAAAAGACGTCGATGACGGTGATGACGGTCCGCCTGGAGGAAATGGTGGCGACGGGGATGATGATGATCAAAATGGACTTCTTCCTCCACCGGATCCCGGAGAAGATCCTGACTTACAAGACATAGATCCATCTGACATAGAGACGGAGCCGTCCGGCGAAGTCTTCAAGTCAGCAGAACATGAAGCTATTGATGCCATAGGAGACAAAAGACTCGAAGAACTAGACGAAGAGCGGGGTCTACGTGCAGCACCGCCTCCTTCTGAACCAAAGGTCACTGGGAAAGATCGACGATCGCCCCGCGAAGTCGGTCCAACCGGTAGACTCATCCCCGAAGGAGACATCGAAGAACCTGGAGAGATTATCAAGATCTTGAAAGAAAAGAAGTTGGCTCCCGAGGCGATTGAACATTGGAGTACGGGGAAGAAAGGGGACGGCATTGTATATCTCACCGATGACGGTGAAGCCTGCAAGATCGACAAAAGGGGAGTTCCGTATAAGATCCGAAGCGACGGTCGACGAACCCTTCCTACACGGCGACCTATCCATTCTTATTCTCCGGAAGCATGGAAGAAGATGAGCGAAGCGGAGAAGAAGGCAGCATATAAGAAAGAAAAGCGAGACAAAGCTCGAGTTGCCAAGAAAGACCGGAAGAAGGCTGTGATAGGAAAGAAGATAGTTACCAGGACTTTGGACAACATGATCTTTCCCAAGATTGTCCCGTGTGAAGAAATTGATCTGCAACTCAACGTGTCCGTTGATGACGACGATGGTTGGTCATGGGCACAGTCCTATGTGGATCAATATACACAGGAACAATTCTTGGCAGATGTCGTGCCGGCCGTTACGGCGCATATGGTCATGGATGATAACTGGATTCCTTCTATGCCGTGTACGACTTCTCACAGAAACGTACATCGGGAAAAGAATCATGCAGGGGGGTCGTGCTTCAATGCCATGGTCACTCGACCCGTCACACGCAAGGAGATGATCAACAATCCCAAGGCCATGGAAGCTTTCATGAAAGAATGGAAGGGATTGTGGGACCAAGAAGTGTTTGACTTCTCAACTACGCGTGAATATGACGACGTCGTCGCTGAGGCAAAGAGGAAAGGTGAGAAAGTACACATGGCGCGAGTACATGGACTGATATACGAGAAGAACTATCAGCTCAAAGAGGACGATCCTGCCAGGAAGTTCAAAGGGCGAGGTGTACTACTCGGTGATCAGGTCAAAGACCAGAACATGGAAGCTGCATTGTTTCAGGATTTGGGAAATTCCCCGGCTACGTTTGACGCCTCACGGTGGGCAGATTATTACGGATGCCTTCCTGGCAACGATGTCCAGATGGCGGATGCTATCCAAGCATACATTCAGGCAAGACTGTCGGGTACTCCATGTTGGGTCGAACTGCCTGATGAAGCCTGGCATCCATCTGCGAAACGGCATAAATTCCGTAGGCCTGTATGTCGCCTGATCAAAGCTCTATATGGACATCCTGACGCAGGAACCATGTGGGAACAACATTGCCATACCGCGGTACAGAAAGTAGGATTCAAGCCGATTGGCGACGAATGGCCATCGCTGTATTTCCACCCGCAAATGAAGCTCTTACTTGTCATCTACGTGGATGATCTCAAGATGGCAGGACCAAAAGAGAATCTACCCAAGGGTTGGGACATGCTGCGCCAAGAACTTCGATTGGAAGAAGAAACGCCGCTGGGCTTGTATCTGGGTTGTCGCATCTCCAAGGGCGAGGCAACGTTGCATGACAAAACGAAGGTGCAGACCGTTACCTACGACATGGAGACGTACCTGGACATGACAGTCAAGAAGTACTGCGACGTGACTGGGTTCGATCCGAAAAAATTCAAGACGGTACCATCGCCGAGTCCGGCTGAGGAGACTAAGAATCACCCAG